ACAACTGAAATGAGTGACCAAGGCAAGGATCTCAATCAATCGAGGTTTATTAAGCCAGCTTTAGGGTGCATCTGGGAAACCACGCAAGCCACAGACACACCTGTGACTGTTTTTCCAAAGAGGTTTTCAAGAAGTTTAGTATTTATACATTTCCCCAGGAATGATCTGTGGGGATAGTCCTCCATAGATGCTCTACGCCATTTATCTTTCTGTGGGGATCTGCCTAATGCATACTGTTAGTAACAGCTTTTCATTTGGAGGGGGGTGTTGTATGACTCAGCCTCCAGGCTTGACCTTTCCTTTTGCATAAGAAGTTTGGGAAGATCCTGAGATTTTTATTTTCCTTTACAATTCTGAAACTTAAGAAACAAAATTTCCATGATGATGGTAGGTGGCTGTGGAATAGAAACATTGTAGCACAGCCAGATCATGGGATGTTATCTACCCATTAAACACAACGCTTTTTACAACATACTACCTGGCTGTTTAAAAAAGTAAAGAAAAAATAAATGATTGATGATAGTTAGATGTCCAAAATACATTGAATAATAAATGCAGGTTGTTGAAGTGTATGTAACTGGTGATTCTAGTGTGTATACTTATGTATATATTTAGCTGTATATTTGTATATGAAGGTGTGTGCAGATGTACTAGCAAAAATTTGAAAACATACATACACAAAATGTCAGCAGGCAGAGTGCGGAGGGATACACCAAATAGCAAAAGAATTCTGCACTCAACAAACAGTGTGTACCACTAGCCTCTCCACCCTGGAGTCAGAAGGTCCAACAAGATCCTGGGTCCCCAGGACCCACACTGTGCTATCTGGTCCAGGCCTATCATCTCACAGGGGACTGTCCATGTCTCCAGAACACAGGGACTCATTGTTCCCTTTGTGGGAAGTGCTGAGTTCATGGAAACCTTCCCTACTGGCTACCCATGTCTCAAGTCTATGGCCTGGGGAGTTGCTAAGTCCCTCTACACATCTGACCATAGTCCCTCTTGCTTTCAAGGACATCCCCATCGTTTCTATAGCCACTGCAGAAAATGGGTTTCAGAATCCCTTCCTGGGCTAGAGAATAGCCTCGTAGGGAAGGGTCAGTCAGACCTGGTCCCGTATCCCATTTGATCACATTGCAATGTGACACACTATAGAATTATGGTTGCATTTTAATAATAACTTTCATTGCTGTTTATTGACCACTCACACTGTGCTAGGAGATTTATAGAGACAACATCCATGATGTGAGAGGGAAGTGCTGTCAATGCCCACAGACAAGTTATCAGAGGCTTAGAGCAGGGGAATGGGGCTGTCAACGGAAAAAAGACCAAATTCTGTAAAATAATTTTAAAGAGATTTACTCTGAGCCAAATTTGAGGACCATGACCCGGAGCCACGCCCAAGAGGTCTTGAGCAGTGGATTCACAGAGGATGGGTTACAGTTTGGTTTTATACATTTCAGGGAGACAGGGGTTAGAGGTAAAGTCATAAATCAATACGTGGGAGGCACACATTGGTTTGGCCGGAAAAGGTGGGCCATCTCGAAGGGGAGGCTTACAGGTTATTATTATAGGTGGGGTTAAAGATTCTTTGGCTTGTAATTGGCTAAAGACATGAAGCTTTGTCTAAAGGCTTGGAATGTTTCAACATAAGGAGCTGTTTATCAGAGATAAGCCACTGGACATAGATTTGTTGTGTAAATTGAGGACCTGCAGGTGTGTCCTGCACACCCTTAGGCCTGATCATGGGTTCCAAAGGATGTCCCCAAGAAGGAGGGGGGCATGATGAGGCATGTCTGACCTCCTTCCTCCTGGCAGGCAATTTAGTTTTAGGATATCTCTTTGGCCACGAGGGGGTCCATTTAGTCAGCCGGCGAAGGGGGGTGGGGGAGTGAGCCTTAAAATTTTATTTTAGTTCACAGGCCTACCCAAGATCCCACGGCCAGTGGGCTGTGACTGGGATGTGGACTCAGGTCTGCCTACGGCAGAACCCACGCCTTCGCCCAGAATGCACTGCCTCCCACCCCATGGGGTCCCTCGAAGCTCCAATCACTTCAGCTTCCTTCCGCAGACCTGGGACCCCAGAATTCCAGAAAAAGTCAACCCGCTCACTCTTCTCGGGTGAGGTTCCCTTTTGGAGGAAAAAAACCTCAGACCCTCTCAGTCAAAGCTGAACCATTCTACCTACTGCCCAGCGAGGTACGTTGCCCCATGACCCCCTGGCAGGACTAGATCTTACAGGCTCTCTGTGGCACTGAGATTTCCCAGCTCATTCACTAAATCAGCCTCCAGCCCTTTCCCGGAGCCGTTAAAAATAGTGTTTAAAGGTCTGCGTAGGGGGAGATCCCAGCTTGCCTGCAGTTGGCTGTGTGACCTTGGTCACAGGTTTAACCTCCCAGCTTCGAATGAGACCTCTGCATGGGTGGAGATGCTGACGGCCCCTCCCCGTGGGCGGCTGCGGAGTTTACACAGGGTCTTGCAGGTCCGGAGCTCCGTGCTGGGTCCTCACAGAGACCCTTCCACAGAAAAGGCAACCGCAGGAGATCAGAGCTTAGGGGGCACCACACTGGTCTGTGCGGGGAGAGGAGGCGTCAGGCCCAGCCTGGGGCTCCGGGGACTTCGTGGAGAAGGGAGTATCAGACACTCCCCCGGGGACAGAGCAAGCACCAGTACAGGGACCCTCAAACTACTCTCATCGATACTATAGCTACTGCCAGGCCACCCCGTTTATCCATCCAGTCGACAAGACTCCCGAGTGCCCCTCCAGGCAGGCGCTGGGCTGGACGAGGTGGGGACCAGGAGGGTGAATCAAGGGATCCTTCACAACCCTCCTCCATCCATCCCTCCCCTGCTGAGACAGCTCCCCGGGCGCCAACACGCGTTCACGGAGCAACTTCGGGAACCAAGTCCGGGCTCTGCTCTCCGAAGCTCAGACAACGCGGTGGCACAGCGGCCTCCAGCAGGCCTCGCCCTGTTCGGCGCACTGGCGTCCCCGGTGCACGGCCCCTTCCCCACACGCAGACCCAACTCCCCAGGAACCCCCCTGCCCCGTCCCACCCTCGAACTCGCCCGGGACCGTGGGAGCCGCTGCCCTTCCGGGGGGTTCCGGGAGGCGGGTGCAGAGGGCGCGTGGACACATCCCGCCCCGGAGGCCCGGCCCGGCCCGGCGCTGCCCCACGGGTCTCGACCCCCGCCGCCGCGGGAGGAAGTGCTGGGACGCGGCTGCGGTGAAACCACATCCCCCACGGTGACGCCGAATGCTTGTAACACTGCACAGCGCGATTAAGATCTTTTGTCGGCGGACCGCCAGGAGGGCCAGCCCAACCTCAGAGGACACGGCCCGTGACGGGACCCCAGGAGCCCCAGCGGCTCATTCACAAACGCCCGGGTTGGGATAAAACAAAGCCGCGAAAACCGCGAGACTGCGCCTGCGCGCTGGAGGCTTCTTGACTGACACACGCGCCGGACTCAGAGCAGCCAATCCCCGCGGGCTGGAGCGGGACCTTCCTCAAGGGCGGGAAAAACCAGGTCCCGCCCCCACCGCCCCTGCCCAGAACCGGGTTGCGCCGGTGACTGGCAGGCGCGGGGCGCGGCTTTAGCGTCTCCTGACAGTCGATTGGCGAGACCGCGTCGGTCGCAACGCTGACTGGCAGCTCGCGTGTACCAACAGGGCACTGCGGACTGGTACCTCGGCCTCCACCACGCCTTGCCTCCTGAGGGGCCCCGAAGGGCCAGGGTGGGCGGCGAGGGAGGAGGGCCGGGACTGACAGGCGCACCGGGGCCCTCTGCTGGGCAGCGTGAAACTCGTACAAACCCTCAGCCAGAGCTTAAAATGCCAGCCTGGGAGACCCCGGATCCCCGCAGGCTAAGAAGCTCCAAATTCTCTCAACCTCAGGAGACCCCAACTCCTTCCACCTTGAGGGACCGTAAATCCCCTCAGCATGAGACCCCCAGGAACACCAAATCCCCTGACCCCGAAGAACACAATTCCTCTCAGCCTAAGGCACCCAAACCCCTGAGCCTGAGAAACTTTAAACATCTCACCCACAGAGAGACCAAATTTCCCCAACCTCAGAGACCTAAGTATTCTCAGCCTGGAAACTCTTAATCCCTTCAGCTTCAACCTAACGCCCCTTAACGAGACTCCAAATCTCCTTAACCTAAGAGATCACAAATTTCGTCAGCCTTGAAGATCCCAAATCCCCTTAGCCTGATGAATCTCAAGTCCCCTCAGCTTGAGCCTGAAAGACCCCCAAATCTTGTCCTGAGAAACCCCAAATGCTATCAGCCTGAGAGACCCTGAATCCCCTGAACCTGAGAAGCCCCAATTCCCTCAGCCTGAAACATCTCAAATTCCCTCAGCCTGACCGACCCCAAATCTCATCGACTTTGGACACCCCAAATCTCTTCAGCCTGAGAGATACCTGCCCCTCAGAGATCCAGACTGCTTTACTCCCAGATTTTTCCAGAATCCCCAGTTGGAGATCCCCAAAAACCTTCTATGAGAAATGTTCATTTTCTCTCACTGGAACAGAACCCTGCTCATCGGTCTGACCCGAATCCCAGCAGTCAGGGGTCCTCGAGGTCTCCTTGGGACTCCTCTGACCCTCACACCTCAGGACGTCCCTCAAACACCCTTAGCCGCAACCCCCCAGATACCGTTCCCATCTTCGCTCAGATGAGCCAAGCTGCAGGGTAATCAGGGAGACAAAATCCAGCTCACATTAGTTGGTCTGTCGTGACTGGTGGAGACCATCCCGTCCCATCAGTACCCCGCAGACCTGCTCGGCATCCTCTAGAGCTTGCCAGGGCCCCCGCATCTTCCTGTTCTGGATACCCCAGCCCAGCAGCGACGACAGTCTGGTTCTGGGTAGTGGTCTGGGCTGTCTCCCCCTCTCAGCACCTTCTCCTTCCACAGGAGCTTGGCCTGGGAGCTGGGAGACTCAAAGGCCCTTCCCAAACTCCGAGTTGGACCGGGACCTGCCCGGCAGTCCAGCACCATGAGCCCCGACAAGTCCCAGGAGGAAAGCCGAGAGGTAGATAAAGCGAGAACAGGGTGGGAGCCCACGGTGAGAAGGGAGGGCGGGCAGTGAAGTCAGGCTTCAAGCAGAGTCCGTAGGAAGGATGGGGAAGGGGACCTAGTGACAAGCAGCTGGTCTCTGGAAGTCTGCAGACTCCTGGCCTGCACCCCTGGGTAACCCTGTCAGCACGTGCATGGAATGGGGGCAGTTGGTCCTGTCCAGGATGTGGGAGGGAAAAGGACACAAGCGTCAGCAACTGCTGTCTGTCGGAGGAGAACTAGGAAAACGCTCAGTGTTTGCCAAGTTAAACAGGACACAATCTGGGGAGACAGGGAAAGTCTTTACCCTTATTTCACAGAGACTACACAGAGGCCCCAAACTACACCCTACACACAGGTGGAGGAAAAGGCCCAGCTTGATGTGTGCTAGTAAACCACTGATGGAATCTGTTACTTTCTCTAGGACAAAGATGCTTTCAAAGACATTTCCATATACTTCTCCAAGGAAGAATGGGCAGAGATGGGAGACTGGGAGAAAATCCGCTATAGGAATGTGAAAAGGAACTACAATGCACTGATTACTATAGGTAAGAGGAAGTGCTGGGTGCAGACCAACCTGGGAAACATAAAACACATTTTCAGTCTCTATATTATTTTAGCTTTCTCTTAGGTGGCAGCATCTGCCCACAGTTCCCTTCTGTATGGAGACAAATCTGGAGGGAAATTTTCTTTTGTGTCAGGACAAGGCTGTGCCAATGTTGGCCACACAGAGGTCACATCTCGACCTTGTATGAGACTCTCCCAGCTCTACAGACGGAGCCGCACTGGTTTTGTGGTGCTTTGCACTACTAGTGTCCTTTGTTCCTCCTCTCAGCTATTCCCTTTTAGGACAAAGATTCTGCTTCTTTTCAGGTCTCAGAGCCCCTCGACCAGCTTTCATGTGTCACCGAAGGCAGGCCATCAAACACCAGGTGGATGACACTGAGGATTCCGATGAAGAATGGACACCTAGGCAACAAGGTGAGGAGCCAGAAGGATTTTAGAGGTGACCTCCTGAAACCAGCTGGGTTTAGGTCTCAGCTGCATCTCAGGAGTTAACAAAGAAAACAGAGTATTCCCTCAAAAACTGAAATGTTCAACAAACAAGCAAGATGCAAAACAGTATATACAGTAAGAGGCTATTCATGCAAAGTTTTTAAATGTATAAAATAATTATATATTATTTAAAAACACAGTAAGTAGGAAATGTATAAAATCTTAATGTGAATAAGAATATCAAATTCAGAATAGTTATCATCACAACAGAAGGAGGAAGGGGCTGGCAGGTGGCTTCACTGTGGCTTATTTGGTTTTTTGTTTGTTTTAATTTTTGTTTTTGAATTTTGAAATTAAAAAAAAAAGATTTGAGGCCGAGCGCAGTGGCTCACGCCTGTAATCCTAGCTCTCTGGGAGGCCGAGGCGGGTGGATTGTTTGAGCTCAGGAGTTCGAAACCAGCCTGAGCAAGAGCGAGACCCCGTCTCTACTAAAAATAGAAAGAAATTAATCGGACAACTAAAAATATATAGAAAAAAAACTAGCCAGGCATGGTGGCGCATGCCTGTAGTCCCAGCTACTCGGGAGGCTGAGGCAGAAGGATCGCCTGAGCCCAGGAGTTTGAGGTTGCTGTGAGCTAAGACGACGCCATGGCACTCTAGCCGAGGCAACACAGTGAGACTCTGTCTCAAAAAAAAAAAAAAAAAAAGATTTGAAGCAGTTATAGCAAAATGTTGAGATTGGAATGAATGAAGATGGATATATAGGTTTTCCAGTATCATTCTCCATATTTTCCTATATGTTTAAAATTTAGGCCAGGCGTAGTGGCTCACGCCTATAATTCCAGAACTTTGTGAGGCCAAGATGGGAGGATCGCTTGAGGCCAGGAGTTCAAGACCAGCCTGGGCTGTTGTGAGACCTTGTCTCTACAAAAAATAAAAAAAATCAGCCAGGTTGTTGTGGTGTGAGCCTGTAGTACCGGCTGCTCAGGAGGCTGACACAGGAGGATTGCTTGAGCCCAGGAGCTCCAGGCTGCAGTGAATTATAATCCAGTCACTGCACTCCAACCTGGAGAACAGACTGAGACCCTGTATCTGAAAAAAATTAAATAAATAAAGTAGTCATTCTTTTTTTAAACAAAGATTGTTTTTGATAAACATTGTTAATTAGTCAAAGGACAATTAATGCAACTTTAAGCTGTAAATCCACTAAAAGCTTTTTAACACTAATCTCATAATCAGTTATCAAATGTCTTAGAAGAGGAAATAATTAACTATTAGGATACATAATTTATTTATATATATTTAATCATACTACATGATCCTCAAATCCCAAAATGAATCTGATTCTTTGTCCTGATTCTGGGAGAAGGTTTGAGAGAACTATTTAGTGTCCCTGATCTTTCACACATGTCACTGACCAGAGACAGCATCAGGTAAATAAAATAATGTGCAGTCATTATAAAACAGAAGTGAGACGCTCATTTCCTCTTTTACTGCTTGGACAGGAGAGTTCAGAAGAGGGAGGATTTGCAACTTAATAAAGGTTTAATTATCAATTTATTTTTAAAAATAAATATGATAAATATCTTATCAACATAGGATGAAGCAGAGATTAAGTTTTATCTATTTTTAAAAAACATTTTAAGAAAATTATCAATGCCTCCAATAGCAACACAGGCCTTGATGACACTTCAGAAAACATTTTCAAATCACCCTGGGATAATACTTGAAATTATCACTCTCTAGTTCAGAATTCTCTGTTTCTGATAAGAATGTCCAGAGTTTAGAAACATTTACCAACCAAACCACTGATTTATCATCACCTTTTAGTCAAACGTCCTTGGCTGGCCTTCAGAGTGGAGCAGAGCAAACACCAGAAGGTGAGTATCTCCTGAACCCTATTGACAAGAAAGTCTTCCTCGTGGATCCAAACACAGGTAAGAGAAGGAGAATGTACAGTGTCCTGGGAACTGCTGCCTTCCTTTCCTGAGATCTTCAGCATGGTGTCTGAGATCATCACCATTTTAAGAGTTCATAAGAACAGTAACAATAATTGCTACTGCCATTTATTTCTGCAATATTTCAGACTTTAAGCATTTTACATGAATAAACTTACTTAAGCCTTACAACACCCCTATGAGGTAGGTACTAAAACTATAACCATTTTATAGATGAGGAAACCGAGGTACAAAAATGTTCAATTATGTGCCTGAGATCACATTTAGTGTTGGTGCAGTCTAATCCAAAACTCCTTCTCTAAAGCACTCACAGCTCATTAAAACTTTCACAGTTTTATAGAGTTTATTCTGTCTTATTCATACATCATTCATCTGACTGATTTTTCAACCTCAGTTTTTCTCTGTTACGGTAAAGGGAGAGATGCACTAAGACACTGCAAGGGAGGCTACAGATACACAGTTTGTATGGTGGATGGTCCTGATGAGAAGGAGATAGGGTCACTACCCTCTTAAGGGACTCATTCTGATCAGAGAAACTGACTTCCGTCCCTGAGGAGCTTCAGGTTTGAAGACTGACAAACAACAAATAAGAAAATAACTTAGGACTTCATATAGGTAACACAAGATTCAGTAGAAATGTATCCTTCTGGAACTGGTTCCAAATGCTATTCCTGTAGGAAGTAATGGCTCCTTCTTCCGGGCTCTATTTGGGCCACTCTCATGCTGTTTGGAATCATTTGTTTGACCTGAGGCCTTTACATTATGAGCTCTTTGAGAGCCCTTTGAGTATTTTTTTGATGAGTGATTCCAAATCTACAAATTAAACGAGTAACAGGGTCAAGGAATACTGAAGAAAAAATCTTTGAGTTAGATTTCAACTGTAGAGAAGGCTGAGGAGGGAAACTAGTATCAAGACTGTGAGGAAAATTATTATTCTCACATTCATACTGTTCAATAGCTCACAAAACACTTTGGCAAACATTATTATGTTTGATATTCACTATAACATTAAAAATTAGCACTATGCCAATTTACGGATCAGGAAACTGAAGAGAATTAGCTAATGACATACTCTTATTCAATCACAATTGGTACAGAAACCAATTAATCTAATTCCAAAGTCAAATATTCTTTCCAGGACATGGAATTTTGCAACTTGTAGCATCGCTTTCTTAGTTTTCTAGATACATTTTGCCAACTATTTCTTTGTCTCTTCCCAACCTCATCTTTTCAGATGTGTTTTGGCCTCTGTGCTTTTCTACATTTCCCTTCCATTGAGTGTCCACGAGCATACAGAAGACCCTCTTTTTCTCTATAAGCCCTTACCCATTCTTCCACAGACTTCGTCGATTCTACAGCTGGTCTACCCAAGTTCCCTCCCCCCTTTGCCTTCACTTATGTGGAAAAATTTGAGAGAAAGTTGAAGGGAAAGGGCCTTAAGACATGGGTTCTAGGCCTGGATTCACTACCCACTTAGGCCCTCCCTTTTTCCTCTAGTATTCAGACACCCCAGGTATTTCTAAGGGTTGTTGAAGCATTAACTAAAGTCATGCATGTGAAAACACACACTGCAGGCCCTAAAGAACTAAAGAAATACATGTTGTCTTTTAATATATGACTCTCACATTAAAGGGAATGCCCGGGGCGTCATTAAGTGACGAATCTAGTTTGAAGGAATTGCCAGGAACAGCAAATTTACTGAACACAAGTGGCTCAGAGCAGCCCCAGAAACCAGTGTCCCCTCCCAGAGAAGCAAATACCTCTGGACAGCACTCTAGACGAAAATTAGGTAAGAGAAAATAATTTGGGGACTTTAGTCTCTCTCGGTGCTCTAGAAAGTTTGATGAGTATGGTCTAGATGTGTGGGGTGGACTTTGGATAGGCCTTGGCTTAAGCTGAACTAAGCTATGAGACCAGAAGTTAGATGCAGTGCTGAATAGCATATAAGAACATTAACTTTGAAATCACACACTTGGGTTATAATCTACACAGAAGCACTGGGGCCTTGGGCAAATCTTATAGATTCTCTGACCTCCTGAATGCTAATCTGTAAAATGAAGATAAGGATACATAAGTTCATATATTGTTTGAAAGCACTAGATTAAATATAAAAGAATTGAATCATGAAAGGTGTCCAACAAATCCATCTCTGATAATAGAGACTATGCCTCCTTAGTGCCCAGGCCTTTGCTCAGTGCCTACCATGTAATATGCCCTCAACAAATATTTTCTGAATGAATAAACGCATGAATGAACTGTTTCATAAGTGAAAAGGTTGGAAGGTTAATGGGATAATGGGAACAGCCAGAAACTAAAATTGAACGAGGCATCTGTAGTCAGTGTGGGTGTTGAGTCTTAGTCTCTCTGAACTAGTAGTTGGAGGGTGGGGTGGGACCAGAGTATATAGAAGAACAGATGATAATCTGACGGCAGGAGAGTTCACATCTTCTGACAAAACAGGGATGAACATCCCAGACTCCCAACTTCATTCACCTACTTTTCTCCAACTCAGAACTCAGGAGAAAGAAGATTGAAGTAAGGGTGTATAGCCTGCGAGAGAGAAAGGGCCATGCATACAAAGAGGTCAGCGAGCCTCAGGATGACGACTACCTTTGTAAGTGACCCTCTGGCCCCTCACACAGAAGGCTGTTATGTCCTGACACAATAATTTCATCTCATCTTTTGACCCCCAAATCATTCCTCTACTGTAGTGACTTGGAGTACAGGACTGAGGCTAAATGATGTGAGTGCTGGGCTCTTTCTGAAGCTCTTTATGTCAAGAACATGCACTATACCTTTCCTAATTCCTGCTGCTCTCGCCTCCAGATTGTGAGAAGTGTCAGAACTTCTTCATTGACAGCTGTGCTGCTCATGGGCCCCCTACATTTGTAAAGGACAGTGCAGTGGACAAGGGGCATCCCAACCGCTCCGCCCTCAGCCTGCCCCCTGGGCTGAAAATCAGACCATCGGGCATCCCTCAGGCTGGGCTTGGAGTATGGAATGAGGCATCCGAACTGCCACTGGGTCTGCACTTTGGCCCGTACGAGGGCCAGGTCACAGAAGACGAAGAGGCAGCCAACAGTGGATACTCCTGGCTGGTGAGAAGTGCCCACCTTTTCCCCTGTTCTGGCTGCCCACATCCCTTCTGTGCCTTTGGTGGGAAATCACCTGCTACCCGGAAGGACGTGGACAGAGATAACATGGTTAGCTCTGTGTACCCAGTGGTCTTTGCATGAACATGGAACTCCTGTTTAAAGGTCAGAGGGTAAGTGGGAGCACAGTGGTACAAAGACAAAGAGGTGCATCCTCCCTTGTGGGACCCCTGCTCTGATGGGATGGATCGACTCAGACAGTAGCTGATGGCTAAGGAGCGTGCCACACAGTCTCAACTGGCAGTCGAATCCACGCAGGCTCAAAGGGCACTGATGTGAGTAGAGTAAAATAAGTCTTTTGATTATTACCCCTAAACAGCCTTTACCTTATTTTTCTGAAACTCAGATCACCAAGGGGAGAAACTGCTATGAGTATGTGGATGGAAAGGACGACTCTTGGGCCAACTGGATGAGGTGAGGCCAACAGTTTTCTGAGTCCGATTTGTCTCTCACAAGCCCAGATTCTTTCCTTCCCATCACGCCTCCTTCAGTGGTTTTTATATCCTTTGCTCCTACTTTTCTCCATACAATGCTCTTTCATATATTGAACATTTAGAAAAAAAGAGATAAAAATAGAAGTATTATAATTTATTTTTCATGAAAACATAAATGTCTATGCTGGACAAAACTGAGGCACCAGGATAAACCTTGAGTAGCCTAGATTCATTGGGGATGCTGAATTCAAATTTTAATTTATCTAATCCACATTTATTAAGCACTTACTGTGTTCCAGTTTAGAAAATGAAATTCATTACTTGAACAGATCATACAACCCATGAACTTTTGGAGGATGTATTGCAGACAGACATGAAACATTTAATTATAGGCATATTTAACTATAATTTTCCTAGTTTCCAAGAAGCACACAGTGCCAAGACAGCCTAAAACAAAGGACCTTTAATCTGTGAGGGCAGGAAATTAAAACTGGGTCCTGCAGCCTGAGGAGAAGTGAGCTACAGGGTAGTCCTGGGCCTCTGTGCTGCTCTAACAGTATCAGCTGACACAGAACATGCACAATTATTCTGCTAAGACAGAGAGACCTGTAAGTTTCTATGGAAACCTGAGTAAACTGTGGAGATTGGAGGAAGGCCTCTCAAAACAAGGTGGACTTGGGCTGAGTATAGAAACCTGTGTGCTAATCTAGAAGCAGAGTACATGATCAAGCACCAAGTCCTGTGGTATAATTACTTTAGAGTTTGGAGAAGCTAGAGGTCACTGTGTTTTATGGCCAATGAAGGTGGAGGTAAGTCTGGAATTGGGCTTTGAAAAGTAGTTAATTAGGCAAGAGGGGGGAAGCATTCTGGGCAGGATGAGCACTGTAAGCAGGACCTAGAGACAGGAATTCATAGAACACTGTGAAAGAGACTCAGGTGTGAGCAGGTCTGAGGAGCGGTGGGGAGTGGGCAGCGTCCGAGCATGGAGGCCTTGACCACCAGGGACAAGCCAGATGTGGACCTGACAGGTGGTGGAAACTCACAGCCTGTTTTCTTTCCCTCTGCCTGCTCAACCCCAGGTATGTGAACTGTGCCCGGGATGAGGAGGAGCAGAACCTGGTGGCCTTCCAATACCACAGGCAGATCTTCTATCGGACCTGCCGGGTCATCAGGCCGGGCTGTGAACTGCTGGTCTGGTACGGGGATGAGTATGGCCGGGAGCTGGGCATCAAGTGGGGCAGCAAGTGGAAGAAAGACCTCGCCACAGGGCAAGGTGGGTGCCACAGTGACTCTCTAGGGAAGAAAGGGAAGGAAAGGTTCTCCTTGGGAATTCTCATGGCTCAGCTCTTACTGTTATTGTACTGTATTTTTATTTTTAATTTTTTTAGAGACAGGGTCTCACTCTGTCCCCCAGGCTGGAGTGCAGTGGCACAGCCAGAGCTTACTGCAGCCTTGAACTCCTGGCCTCAAGGGATCCTCCTGCCTCGGCCTCCCAAAGTGCTGGGACTATAGGTGTGTGCCACCACACCTGGCCTGGTTTAACTCTTAAGTAGAGTAAAATGCAGTCAAAAGTCAGTGAAATTTCCAGTCAGGTGCTTCTGAAATTAAAGATTCATGTCATATGCCTTTGACTCTTAGGGACAATTTTTGTATTTTTAAATTTTTGCTGGATTTCATATTCTAAGTACTTCAGGCACAAAATTTATAATAGCATACAGTGCCGAAAGATTTGAAGGCAAAAAAAAAGTTCTCTCATCTACCAGCTCTCTCAACAAGGTAGTTTCTTGTGGCACTTGTAGTTCTTTCTTTTTAATTTCTTCCATATTTCTAAAGAATATGCATATGTTATTATCATTCACTCATTATCTCAGTTAGCTGTCATATGAATTCTTATACTGTGCCAGACAATGTGCCAGGAGATGAAAATATAGCTTGAACAAGAGAATCACAATATCTGCTCTTAGGCAGCTGATGACACATGAAAGAGAGAAACATGTGTACACATCAGTGACTACTGCTTTGAAAAAAACTAATCCAGGAACAGTGCCTAGGGATCAGTGTGAGGAGAGGGTGCGGTGTAGCAGGGGATGGTCAGGGGAGGTTTCTCTAGGGAGGTGGCATTTGAGAAGTGCAAATACGAGCGGGCAAAGGGTTCCAGGCAGAGGGAGGAGCTGGCGCAGTGGCCCTAAGGCAGGAGTGAGTCCAGGCGCCTGACCACTCAGGTGAAGGATGCAGAGAGGGTAAGAACCAAAGTCATAGGCCAGGCGCAATGGCTCACGCCTGTAATCCTAGCACTCTGGGAGGCTGAGGTGGGAGGATTGCTTGAGCTCGGGAG